GGCCGTCGGGTTGTCGTTGATTCGGGCCGCTACGTCCACATCCACGGCCATGCCCTCGATAGCCACCAGAGTTGCCCCGATTTGATCCGCCGAAACTACCGCGCCCAGAGTTCTGCCCACTGCTGCCCTGCCGCGACTGAGCCCCGCTCGCCGTGTGACTGCCACCGCTGCCGCTGAAACTGAGAAGGGCGGTGGACGGGCCGGTGTTGGGGAGGGCGTTGGCCTGCTGTTGTTCGGCCAAAAAGAGGGCCGATCGGACTTCCAAGAACGTCGGGAACGAGTTTTGATACTGCAAAAAATGAACCTGGGCCCGAATATCATGCGGCAAGCCTTGAAGAACTTGTAGGACAAGGGCGTGCTCGGTCACCGGAGCATCCACGTTGTCAAGGTAGTCGGCTAGGTTTTTGAGAGTGTGACAATATTCATTGATTGTCTTGGTTTCTTTGACGGTTTTAAGGAATCGATGCTCCAATTGCATCTCCCGGGCATGCTTGTTGAATTGTCATGGAATAATTTGTAGATAGCCTTCCATAGAGCAGAGGCGGTGGGGCTGTTGGCAAGGACGAGATCGGAGACCTCATCGGAGACGGTAGACAAGATCCATCCTTGAAGTAGGGCATCAAATTGGTACCACTCGGCATCGTCGGCCCATTTGGCGATGATAGTGCCGTCAAGGTATCCCATGAGATTGAAGCGAAGAACGAGGAGGCGAAAGAGTCGACTCCGCTTTTTGTAGTTCGGCTCCGAGATGCTAAGTTGAACGGGGATATGGAGTTTAATGTTGGAGATTGTTGTAAAAGCAAGGTGGGGAGATTTGGAGGTGTTGGTGTTATCGGAGGAGATAGAGGAGACTTCGGCCATGGTGAATGTTGGAGTTGAGGGAGAACGCCGAGAGAGAAAGAGAGAGATACGGCAGTGAGAGAGAGAGTCTGCCGAGAGAGGAGAGAGCCGAAACAGGGAGAGGGAACCGTGAGAAATTTAGGGCTCCTACCATGAAGAATTGATATATTCCGATAAACATAAAGTGTGGATACAAGAGATTATATATAGTAGAGGTGTCCTAGTTATGTTAGGAAACCTTAGGGGCGAACCCACGTTGGGTCACATGGTGTCAAGCGACACCACGAAAATTATAAATTTTTTTAGTGTATATATATATATATATATATATACATATATACAATTTTCCTAGTGTATACCTAGATTTAGTATATCAACTAAAACACGCTACAAACTTCAACTTGTACCCGCTATAAGAGTGGAATGCTCTGCGTTTTGCATTAATTGGGTTGGGTGGTCTTGAGTTCGAACCTAGCTGTAGGAATGGGTATATTTTATTTTTGGGAAGATGACACACCCAATTTCAAGAACAAATCTTCAAATCTTCCATTTCTACTTTGCCAGGTTTTTTTCTTACATTATTGAATCTAATTATCTAAATTGGATATTTCTTTTTTTATTTGTAAATTGTGAAAATTTTAATTTATTGTTATAAATTTGTTATTGTGAATAGCAGAATAGGATTTGAATTCGTTTATTTTTTTAAGATTGTGATTTGTGAATATGTTAATATAATTAGGTTATGTTTTAAGTTTATAATGTTTTTAATTATTTAAATTTCAATATAGGATGCAAAGGAATGAGTATATATTATTTCTTGGAAGATGACACCCCCAATTTCTCGAACAAATCTTCATCTTTCATTTCTACTTTGCCAGATTTTTTCTTTTACATTATTGAATCTAATTATCTAAATTGGATATTTCTTTCTTTATTTGTAAATTATGAAAATTTTTTCTTAATGATAAGTTGGAACGATGGCGCCTTGCCCTTGAGACCAAAGGATTCAGAATAAGTAGGAACAAGACAGAATACATGGAATGTCATTTCAGCGGCCGGGAAACGGAATCAGAAGTGGAAGTTAAGATTGACTCTCACCTAGTGCCTAAGGTGGACAAGTTTCGGTATCTTGGCTCGGTAGTTCAGGCTGATGTGGAGTTAGACGGGGATGTTGGGCCTCGTGTTGGAGTGGCTTGGGCTAAATGGTGGTTGGCTTCAGGGGTGTTGTGTGATCCGAAGATTTCACCCAAGATGAAAGGTAAGTTCTACCGGTCCGTAGTCAGACCTGCTATGTTATATGGGGTAGAGTGTTGGACAGTTAAGATGACTCATGTGCGTCGTCTGCATGAGGCAGAGATGCGGATGTTACGATGGATGTGTGGGAAGACAAGGTTGGATATGATTTCGAACGAAGTTATCCGACGTCAGGTAGGCATGGCGCCGGTGGAAGATAAGCTGCGGGAAGCGAGGTTGAGATGGTTTGGTCATGTGAGACGGCGGAATACGGACGCCCCTGTACGGAGATGCGAGAGGATTACGGTCATCGGGGGAAGTAGGGGTAGGGGTAGACCTAGGAAGAATTGGAATGAGGTGATTAGGCAGGATTTAGGACTTCTCGCCCTGACTGAGGATATGGCTTTAGATAGGAACCTTTGGAGAACTAGGATTAGAATAGCTGGTTAGGGGCCCGGTGCCTCTGAGGTTTTTTGTAGTGTGCTTTGTTTGGTTGGAATCCTTTGCTTTTGCTTGCACGACTTTCATTCCATTGTACTTGGTGTTTTATCTGTGTTCTATTGTGCCCTATCATATTTTTTGTGCAGGTTGGAGCCGGGGGTCTCTTGGAAACAGCCTTCCTACTTCCGAGTAGGGGCAAGGTCTGCGTACACACACCCTCCCCAGACCCTACTGTAGTGGGATTCAACTGGGTTGTTGTTGTTGTTAATTTATTGTTATAAATTTGTTATTGTGAATAGAAGAATAGGGAATTGAATTCACTTTTTTTTTAAGATTGTGATTTTTGAATATGTGAATATAATTAGGTTATGTTTTAAGTTTATAATGTTTTTAATTATTTAAATTTCAATATTGGATGCAAAAGTATTTTAAAAACACATCAAGATTTAAAAAGAAAGAATTGAGTGATAATCCAAATATGTATTTCACATTTGCAATGTAGAACTATTTTTAATTAGTATTTTCAATAACATATATAAACTTTAATGTTATGTATTATAGAATACTGTTTATTTATTGTTAGAAGCGTGACGGTTGGATATAAATTTTCTAAATTACGACCCCACGGTTCAAATGTTCTGGGTCCGCCCCTGGGAAACCTACTATATTAGGAATCCTTAATTAATGAGGACTATACATGTATGGAAACTACTATATACAAAAGATACTAAATATATACTTAATATGTTTAACACTCTTGATAGAAGCAAACCAGGTGCCACGATTTCACAAGTTGCATTTTTTGCATTGCTCCAATCACCCACTCCTTCATGCTCATTTGCCCACCAAACATATCATCTGTCGGCTTCTTGCACGTAAACATCTCCACCAACATTATCCCATAACTGTACACATCTCTGCTTGTGGATACTTTCCCTTCAGATCTATACTAAAGAAATGCATTACGCACATTAGTTATCAACTGAGAACAAGTAATATATATTGTACTTTGAGAGCACTGGTTTAATTGTTTAAGTGCACGCAATGCTTATGCTTTCCGAAACTAATTAACCTTACCAAAAGGTTCCTATAAGGAGGAGTAGGAGAAAGTAATTAAACTCTTTAAAATTTTACGTATGAAATAAACAAATAAAGAAGCATACCTGGTGCTGCATAGCCGACCGTGGCAAAGGTTTTAGTCTGAGTCATAGCCTCCCCTTCATCAAAGAGCTTGGAAATGCCAAAGTCACCAACATGAGCAATCATATTTTCATCAAGCAACACATTGCTTGGTTTTAAATCACAATGTAAAACAGCAAAGGTGTGGTTGTGATGAAGATATTCCAAGGCTAACGCCACATCTATTGCAATGTTCAATATCTGAACCAAACCAAAGTGATAGTTGTTGAAATACAAACATTTTTCCAGGCTTCAATTCGGCATATATGCAAGAATCAAGGCTTTGAATTCCGTGTTAGTACAACAGCCAACGATTCAAACTAAGTTTTTGTGCAGAATGCTGCTTAGTACGGAGTATTTCACCTTCAGTATCAAAGATTTTGCTCGCTGCAAATTAAACACTTTCACTGCAATGTTTAAGCTGTCAGAAAGTGTTGCTTTGAATACTGAACCAAAGCTTCCTCTCCCAATAACGGTTGTGTCATTGAAAGAAGCTGTGCCCCGCACAAGTTCCATGTAAGAGATTAGTCTCCAGAGAGAGATATCCTCAGCAGGAGGCTTTTCTTTTGTCTGTTTCCATCTCCTGAGGAGGACATGTATGATGAGAAGCATCAAAATGACAATTGTAACAAGGGAGGAACAATATACTTCATCACCCGGGAAACACGTTTAGATCTTTTGTGGTTTTGTTCAGCACAAGGCGGGACATGCACTCTTCTAGTCGCAACGCTGCAGAGATCGGAGTTGTCTGCAAAACATTGAACAGTGAAGCTGGAAAAACGCGCCTGTTTGGAATCTCCCCTCTCAATTTGTTGTGAGACACGTTAAAAACTTGAAGATCGGTGAGGGCTTCTAAAGAATTGGGTACGATTCGAGAAAGATTGTTATTGGAGAGGTCTACCGTTGTCAAGCCTCTGAGATTCCCAAAAGATTCAGGGATGGATCCAGTAAACTGATTACTCGCCAATGGTAAATATACCAACGATAGGCAATCTTTGATTGAGGTTGGAATATGACTGGAAAACGGTTAGGAGATATGTCTAGGATACTGATTGCTTTCAAATTTCCAATCTGCATTGAAACTTTACTGCTGAGATTGTTGGATGACAAGTCTAAATAGATCAAGTCTCTTAGATTCCAGAAGGTGGAAGGTATTGTGAAACTCAGGTTGTTGGAGGCAAAGGAGACCCTGTTCAGGGAGGCCATTTCACATAAACATTCACGAATTGGGCCAGTAAGCACATTCATACTAAGATTCAACTACCCCGTATTTCCTAGTCAGCAAAGATCAGAGGGGATATGCCCTTGCAGTCGATTTCCACCGAGAAGTATTCTGGAAGCAGAACTTAACTTTCTTAGTGTTGTTGGGATGGAGGCCAGTAAGCTGATTTTCAGCTAAATCCAAAAATTTCAAACTCTTTAAGTTTCCAAAGCCGGGAGGAATAGGGCCATTGATATTGCAGTCCGAAAACATTAAAGACTGAAGAGAGCTGGACAAATTCCCTACGGAAGGTGGGAGAATAGCATTGAGTGGATTGTCTCTTATTTCTAGATGTTCCAAATTCGGACAATTGGTAAGTGAAGTGAGAAAGGTCAGGTGCTGTGTTGGTGATAGTGCTCCTTTCAAATAGTTTTCCCAAAGACGAAGTGTTCGCAAGGATCTTAAGAGACCCAAGTTGGGTATGAGGCCAGTGAATGAGTTCTTGTTGAGTTCCACTAAGGTCAGCATCGAAGCATTTGCGGTGGAATTTGGAATTTCACCACTAAGGCCTTGTTTGGGAAGAGCGTTTTCAATTAGCGTTAGCGTTTTGGATAAAATATTAACGCTGTAGATTAATTCGGAAAGCGCTAACGCTAAAAGCTACTGTCAGATAGCCTTCTCAAAACACTAACGTTAATCTCTAACGCTGATGCCAAACGGGGCTTAAGTCGATCCAGAGACAGTATGAGGACTTGAAGATTTGAAGAAGAAGCTTCCGTGGTGATTGGAATACTGCCGGAAAACTGGTTTTGATGAAGAGTTAATTGGGTCAATGTGGATGGGAGTACATCCGAATGTACCTAGAGATAGGTATATCCAGATAGTACTCAATCTGAAATAAAATAGTACTCATTCTCGCATGAACATAAGCATTCATTTTGAAAAATCATGTTACGCATTCTAAAAAAATGTAGTACTCATTTTAACACATTTGTACAATATTCATTTGCGAATAACATAATACACATTCTAAAACCTAGTAGTACTCATCCCCATATAGCCTAGTACTCATTCTTCAACTACATACCACCATTCATAGCTCGCCCTAACCGCGGATCCCAAAAGCTTCTTCATAGTTGCAGATCAATTCTACAGAACCTACCAGGTGTTCCTTCTTCATCAGCATCACCACAGCATCAATAGGCAAAACCCTAAGAATCAATACAAACGCGAAGAACACATCCGCACATCATCATCAATCATCATCATCATTGATCTGCACATCATCACAAATCTGCACGGCTTCCAGCAAACTTCCGATCGGCCAACCTCCTTCATTGCTGATTTCTTCCTTTCGCCCCTATTAAACGCCGGTTGTACCTATCTATAGGTACAGTCGGATGTATAATATAATTTGCGCAATGTGGATATGATGAATATGGAAGATGGGATGGAACCATTCAAGCAATCATTTGATAAATACTTTATTATTTAGAAATCACTCTAAAAAGGATTAAAATATAGAAAAAAGTATCAAAATAGGAGTTTCATGTTTTTATTCTCGAAATAGGACTTCGCACTCTGGTAATGTGGCAGTAAACATGTACACATTACTATATTTTTTCGTAAAGTACAAGACAATGTTTGGTATAAATGCATTTTAATTCCTATTTCAAAAATAAAACATGAAAGTCGTATTTTATTCCTACTTTAGTCTTTTTCTCTTATTATTATTATTACTACTATTATTATTATTATTATTATTATTGTTATTATTAATATTATTATTTAAATTCTTATTATTATTATAAGAAATTAGTTATTCTTACTAACTATGCTATATTATTAGTTAGTATTATTATGGGACTCCTCCTCCTTCTGATTTCAGAAATGCCGTCATCCGCCCCTTCCATAAATTGTAGTTATGACCACGTAGTAGAGGTGGCCTTTGAACACTAACGCCTTTCTCGATGCCCCCCATGATTTGTGACTGCTATAGGCTAGCAAAGACACAAAGATTTGTTTACGCAGTTCGGAGCTGAATCTCCTACGTCTGCGAGGCCCACATCTGTGTAGTACCCTTTTCACTAGATCACTGTAAGAATTACACACTAAATCCCAACACATCTTTCTAATGAATTGACTTGTCTACTTACGTGACCTGACAACAAACTCAGTTCGTGTCTCTATCAAGTCTATTACACTTTCTTCCTGTTTTTCGCGGATGAAGGTCAACACTCGCGCGCTCGGCTCTACCCTCCGCGAGGGGGAGGATGACCGAGCGCAAGGGGCCAAGTACACACGAAAGTAACATTTGAAATATGAGAACAAAACTTAAAACACATCCATATTTTATTCATCCCTAAAAAAGGGGCAAGATAATGGCGCAAGCGCCTTACAAGAGTTAAAACATGAAAACGTGAAATTCCAATGCAGCCTGCCACAATTCCACCCTCGCCTGCATGGGCACGGCAGGGGTAGGAAGGAGGTGAAGGGGCACTGCCAACAAAGGAGCAGCCGGTGGATTCGCCGAATCTGGGCGAGCCCGGGTCTTCGATGGATTGGCGGCTCGGATGGTGGGATGCCATAGAACTCTCACTCGGGCCCTCGGCCGGAAGAGTGGGAGGACGACGCCTTCGGCCCCTACGATTAGGAGCGGCTGGGAGAGCGGCGGCCTCCTCGCGGAGAGCTGGCCGGGGAGGAGTCTTGACATCCTCCTCCGAGGAGTAATAGATGAACCCCAGAATCTTCACGTAGGGATCAAGGTGCACCAACTCGGATTCGGAGTCAGAGTCCTCTGAGTCCCGTAGAGCAGGCAGAGGGGTCGAGCTCGGCCCAGACTTAGTCGGAATAGCGGAGGAGCCCCCACACGAATAGCTGCTAAGGGAGAGCGGGCGGTTCCGCATCTCACTTGTGTAGGATCATTTTCTGGAACTTCCCAGTGGGATCCTGGGACTACTCCCGTTCCAGCACGCTTAACTACAAAGTTCTGAAGTTAAAGAGGTGCCAAATGCTTCCTAAAACCAATTGGTGGACACTTTGTATTTAACCGCATCTCTGTAGCCCCAAGCCGAGGTAGATTCCTATAGGGCACCCCTATAGTTCACTACGGCAGAGCGGAGCCCCACTACTGAGCGGTGGATGAACAGGAGGGGCTTCGCAAGATACACGACTCGTGTACCTCGTCAGGTTGGGCTGTCAGTACCCGATACCGTGACTAGCACAGTAGCGAATCCCTAAGGGTGATCGATAGTCCCCCATAAGACCAACAATCTCCCCCCTAGCGACACCCAGGGGATTCGAGCCTGCTTCCTCGCTCCGATACCACTTGTAGGATCGTTTTCTAGAACTTCCCAGTGGGTCACCCATCCTGGGACTACTCCCGTTCCAGCACGCTTAACTACGGAGTTCTGAAGTTAAAGAGGTACCAAATGCTTCCTAAAACCAATTGGTGATAGGAAGGTGGACACTTTGTATTTAACCACATCTCTGTAGCCCAAGCCGAGGTAGATTCCTATAGGGCACCCCTATAGTTCACTACGGCAGAGCGGAGCCCCACTACTGAGCGGTGGATGGACAGGAGGGGCTTCGCAAGATACACGACTCGTGTACCTCGTCAGGTTGGGCTGTCAGTACCCGATACCGTGACTAGCACAGTAGCGAATCCCTAAGTGTGATCGATGGTCCCCCATAAGACCAACAACTTGAATTGGGGGGAGTAGGAGTGGAGTATGACATGGCAAAGATTAGAATGTTAGAATAAAAGACCAACGCTAGAGGGGGGGTGAATAGTATTTGATCGCAAAAATCGCAGGAATAAAAAAATTTAAAGGAGAAGTAAAGAGGAGAGTAAGAGACGCACCGAATTTACCCTGGTTCACCACAACTTGTGGCTAATCCAACCTCCCGAGAGACGCTCTCGAGCTACACTATCAACGTTAAGCTTAACGGTGCTTAAAAAACCCGTACAACTTGAGAGTTCGAGTCACACGAACCTTAACGATCCTTCGAAGGAAACAACCCTTCCTGCGAACTACTCAAGAGAAAAGCATTCTCTTATCAAGTGTCTAAGAACACTAAATCACTCAAGAACAATACTCTCTTTTAGAGTGGATAATGAGTAACTAAGAACGCTCAAAAACACAACACGGACTTCACAAAAATGGCTCTCGAAAAGCTATGAATAATGTATGAATGTAATGCCATGAATAATAAGAGTTGTGAAGTAATGTGATGTGCAAAGCATACCCAAACACCCCATTTTATAGTAGAAAAATAGGCTCCAACGGGTAGGAGTTGAATGGGGGTGATTGGCACAATTTGTGGGATTTGATTAAAATTGGATCTGCTGAAAATCAGCGAGACAGCGCTGTCCATGGCTTGGACATCGCTATTCTAGGCTTAGTTTTTGAAAATTGGAAGCAACGGTGAAGCCAACAGCGATGTCCAAAAGGCCTACAATGCTGTTTTGGCTATTGACTTCCAAACATGGAAAGTTTTAGCCATAAATTCCTTCCAACGGTCAGGTGCCTACATCGATGTTCATTCCTTGAACATCGCTGTTCAGGCCTAACTTTGAAGGATGAAGAAATGGCCTGACATCGCTGTTGCTAGGTCAACAGCGCTGTGCAAAAACTTTCTTCCAAAGGCATTTCTTTTTGGCTTAGGTTGGATATCAATGTAGAGAAGTCTACATCGTTGTTCCAAATGTTTCTGGAAACCCAACCTTGGCTCAACAGCGATGTCCATAAGCCAACATTGCTGTTGGAAGACTTAACGCCAAACCATGGTTTTCAGCTGCCCATGCCAGATAGCGCTGTTGGGCTGGTTTAGCCAGACCCATGGTTGGTTTAGTCATGCCGTTAGCCAATGTCAAAAATCTAAGTTCTCCAAAATAAAAACCAAGTATTGAAAACATTTGTTTAATGCATTTTGCTAAGAAATCAAGTAAAACATCTTGAAAATCACGTCATTTAGATAAAAACCACGACTAGCCAAGTTTACGCCGTTTCACATGGTTTTTACTAAACGACCAAAAACGAGAGATGGTTTTTGAAGCATTTTTGTTGGAGAACTATTTAAATATTCCTAGAAGTAAAAACCAATCATAAAATTTTGAAAACCACTTGGTTGGTTCGGACGCCAAAAACCAACGCCGATAACCGAATGCCGGACGTCGGTTTCTGAAAACCAAACGCCGGATGGCTTGGTTTTTGGTTTGGGCGAGCACCAAGTGTTTTAGGCTTGTTTAAAACTTATGAAAAACATTTTTGAATATGCAAAGTAATATTTTAATGGAATGAGCCTAGAGAGCCAAGTTTAGAAGTTTGTGCCGGTCTTGATCACATTAATACCGACTCAATTTATTTCTAAGTCTTCGTTCTTAGTTCTTCGTTCTCGGTTCTCAATTCATCACGCCATGTTCCTTCGCCTTTGATTTGCTTAGTTTAATCTTGTTATCACGGTGGTTTGGCATTATTAAAACCTGTCATAAAACGAACACGGTTTAGTACGACGTAAGCGTAAACCCGTGTTCCAACAATTTCCCCCTTTTTGATAATGGCAAAAAATACGGGGATATGCATACTAAGGGATATTTGATTTTCAAAAAGGTGTGAAAAAGTTCCCCCTTAGTTTGTGCTTAAAAGCAAATAGTCGTTTTAAAATCAAACGATCCCATTTTTAAAAACGTTCCCCCTTAGTATATGCATAGCCCTTTTCTTCTCCGTTTTGACATTAACAAAAAGATAAAAGATAACTTTTATTTATTGAATGGGGAAAGAGCGGAGTAATTAAAAAGAAAAACATGACAATTAAAGAAAAAAGATAGGAATTCTAGGGGCGGCCTAGTCTTCGTCTTCGGTTTCCTCCTCGTCGTCATCGACGCCCATCTCATCACCGTCAATGGCGTCGTCGAACTCATCCTCATCCGGGGAGCTTGACGGGGTGTAGGATCCGTCCTCTTCGTCCTCGTCACCGTACATGTTATATCTAGGCTCCGGGTTTGACGGTATTAAGTTCAAACTCAAGAAACAAAGCCTTTTGCTTTCAGGATAAGAGGATAATCGATTGTCTATCTTAGATAATCGATTGTCAGATGGTGCAGCTTCTTGGATTTTTTCAGGAGGGATTGACAGTCGATTATCGGTATGGTGATAATCGATTATAGAGGGCTGCAGATTTCTGGGGAAGAGTGATAGTCGATTATCTTAAAGGGATAATCGATTATTACTACCTGCAGATGTTTCCAATAGAACTGATAATCGATTGTGGGGAATGATAATCGATTATTTGGCAGTGATTCTGGACAGGAAGAAAGGTGTTTTTGTGGGGAATGGGTTGGAAATATATGGGGCTGATGAGGGAGTTCTTTTGGGTATTTTAATGGAAGAAAAGGGTAAGATTCAGAGGAGAAATGGGGAGGTATGAAATGGGAGAAAATCAGGGATGGATAAACCAAGTTGGTGTTTAAGAGATATTACACAGTCTTATCCTAACTTGGGGTTTGAATCTAGAATTTAATTAAGATATGACACACTTAATCAAATATCTAGAACCTAAAACTCACACTTAAGATAACCACTTCTTAAGATATAGAATTAGGAATTTGGCTAAAATAGCATCACACTATTTTATAAATACTCAATGAGTAAAAGGGAGTTTTAATATTCAAAGTTGTTTCTACAATGGCCATAGGGCCTGATTATATAGGGAAGGGGGGATAAAAACACAATACATTGAATGTAGACATAAGGAAACTTCCTAGAAGCAACTATTTCAAACACATGGGATAATACCCATTTATTCTTGTCTCCTTAATGGACTGAAATCAGAGATGGGTGCCTGGGATTGTGGGGTTGTTTGGCATGTGAATGCAGGTCACTTTATTGATGAATGGGTGGATTATTTCTGCCAAGGGGGGAAGGAATTGTGCAGGGGATGGTGGGTTGTTTTGGAGGTTTCCTGTGGGTAGTTTTAAGGGGAACAAGGTAAGGTTTGATTGGTGTAAAGGTGGGTCATTATGTCTTGGATTATAGTGGCTAATTGTGTATCCAAGTTGATGGACATAATGGGGAACAAGGATTGGGTTATGGCATGGGTTTTGGGCAGGGATTTTTGGCCAGGAGTGAAGGGAGGAGGGAAGGGGAATAATGTAGTTTTTGGGCTGGTTATTTTTGAATTGTGCTACTACACCCAGGAGTTTCAGGGATGGCAGATAGTCGATTATCAATAACTGATAATCGATTATTGGGGTTCGTTGCTGATGCCAGGGAAGTTCAGTAGGGTTCAATAGTCGATTGTCAGTGTTCAACCATCGATTATTAGAGCTCTCAGGACAGCAATACGGATAGAAGGTGATGGGTGTATGCTGCTGATGGAAAAGTGAAATTATGGGAAAGAAGGTGGAGTTATTTTTGAGTTGGTTCTTTTGGATATTTTGGGACTTGGTTTTTGGTGAGGGTGGTTCAGTTTTAGATGGGGAATGGGGGTTCCGAGGGGTTATGGCTGGGCCTTGTAGTTCAAGGCTGATTTCCACCCCAAAAGGAGCAAAGTCCTCAACCATGGTTTCCTTCGATTGCGTGAACATTTGAAATATGTCTCGCAACTTGGATGCAGTGATCCTGGAAATAACAGTACACCTGCCCAAGAAACGTGCCTTGGTACGGTGGGGGGACGTAGTTGACGTGTTGGAAGTACGCGTTCATTACGTGCCCTTGGCGTTAAACAGCCTCGTCGAGCCGTTCAAGGTACCCATCCATCCCGTCGACTTTGAAGTGCAGCCGGTTGAGGGAGTCGGTGATGGAGGCAAGGTTGGCCCGGGCCTGGGGTTCGGCTGGGCCATCGACAGTGCGGCGTGGTGCGGCGTTGTCCGACCGCTTCGTGAAGGTTTGGGCGCTGATCATCCAAAGATTCGTGGCCTTGGTGAGAGGGCCAACGGTGGTGGTAATCTTGAACCATTCAAGGATGTCCATCACCAAGAATGGGTACGGGAGGAGGTGATCGTGGGCGGTAGAAGAGGCATCCGTCATGTAGATCATGACAAACTTCACCCAATTGATCGGCGCTGAGTGCATGATGGCATGGAGGAGCTTGAGGTCCTCTCTAGCCATTATCGTGTGCCCGTGCTTCCGGGGCTTGATGATCCGGGACACGATATAGAGAAGGAGGCAGCTCTTGGGGGTCGCGGTGTGGATGGTGGGGCGCCGCGTGGGATGGCGGATGAGTTTGATGATGCCGAGCTCGTTGAGGACTAGGCCCTCGTTGTTGAGACCCTGTAACGCCCTGCAACCCAGTCTAATAGAATTGATCAATTTAATTAATTAATTACTGTTCCAGACTGGAGTTGGAGAAAATAAAAGTTCTTAGAAAAATTATTTGAACATGTCATTAAATTCGTTTTGACTGTCTGATTCAGGAAACGCAAACGGAACTCAATTCGGAACCGTTCGGGGGAAAAACCGCGTACTGTTCAGGTCAGATTTTTACATAACGGAATGGAATTTAGGGAATTAATTCCCTATTTAATTCCCTTCCACGCCATACACACATTCTTCCTCTTCAATGCCCCATCATTTCTCATTTAATCCCCTTCAATATATACATGCCTCTTCTCTTCCAACCCTTCACCATTGGTAACCCCCGCAACACCATTAACACACAA